CTTAAAAAATCTGAATCGCGGTAATAATTTATGCTTTAAGTAAAAGGGCGTCAAAATGTAGAGAGTATGCCTAAACAAAAGACGAATTTTTTTAAATAGGTACTTTTTAACTAAGCGTTGCAGCGTTCTATCGGCATATTTTCATATGTTAATACTTTAGCGACATAAAATAATACTTTATCAATACATTCTTATGTGTTTAATTTTTCACAAAGCTGCAATAACACCACATACTCTAGTGAAAATCTGTCATATTTCGCACTCCGAGCGTTCCGCCATCTCATTCTTTCCACCTTTATCCGATTCCGCGCATGCGCGCGACGGGTTTTTTAAGCTAAACGAAAGTGTCCGATCCTTGTAATATAAATCCGTGCATGTACTTAGGGTCATAATTAAAGGTCACATCTCAAGATCAATTACTCTGCCATGAATTTGGCTGAATTATGGTCCCTTTTGGACTAAAAAAATCTCCTTTTCTTGGTTAAGTTTAAAATGCAAGTTTTGCATATCTCTGAAACTATTAAAGATACAAACTTGAAACTTCATATGTATATTTGTAGTCATAAATAATGATCACTGAACAGCACTTACATGTATCTGTGTCATGTATTTAGGCTGGTTTATCTCCCCCTTCTTACTTAGTCTCTTGGTTAATGTTTACATGTAAGTTTTACATATCTCAATAACTATACGAGATTTTGATGTAAACTTCACATATGCATGAAGGGTCATAATTGTATGTCACTGACCAAGGTCCATAATTCTATCTTGCATTTAGGCTGATTTTTCTCCCCTTTTTATATGCCCGAAAGAATTTCGGGCATATTATGTTATACCCACTGGCGTCTGTCTGGATGTCCATCTGTCCGCACTCACAGGACAGTTATTATGTGGCTAAAGGGACAATAGGTAACTGTTCTTTCTCTTTGATGTCATTCATTCCATAATGCTTTTAATGTGGCTATTTTCTGTTGTGTGGCTAAATAGAACAATAGAGAGAACAATAGGGTAGCCACATAATTGCAGTCCTGTGAGAACTTCTGTCCATCTGTCCGTACAAACCCAGAGGTACTTGTGTAACTTGGAGAACAATGGGTAACAGTAAATTCTTTTTGATCCTATTCATTACATTTTTATGCCCCCACAATGTGGGAGCATAAAGCGTTGTACTTGTCCGTCCGTCCGTCAGTCCGTCTGTCAGTCAGTCCGTCCGTCCGTCAGTCCGTCCGTATGTCCCGAAATCTTGTGAATGCAACTCCTCTTAAACCGTATGGCAGATTTTGCTTAAACTTACAGGGATGAACAACCTTAATGTTAAGATGGTAGTAAAGGAAGGAATTTTTGCTGCGACCAAATTTAACAGAATTATGGCCCTTTGTTGATTTTTTCACTAGATACTATGTAGAAATTTTGTGAACGCAGCTTCTCTTAAACCGGATGGCAGATTTTTCTTAAACTTACAGGGATGAACAACCTTAAGGTGTAGATGGTAGTAAAGGAAGGAATTTTCGCTGCGACCAAATGTTACAGAATTATGGTCCTTTGTTGATTTTTTCACTATATACTATGTAGAAAGTTTGTGAATGCAACTCCTCTTAAACCGGATGGCAGATTTTGCTTAAACTTCCAGGGATGAACAACCTTAATGTGTAGATGGTAGTAAAGGAAGGAATTTTTGCTGCGACCAAATTTAACAGAATTATGGCCCTTTGTTGATTTTTTCACTCTATACTATGTAGAAGTTTTGTGAACGCAACTCCTCTTAAACCGGATGGCAGATTTTGCTTAAACTTACAGGGATGAACAACCTTAAGGTGTAGATGGCAGAAAAGGGAGGAATTTTTGCTGCGACCAAATTTAACAGAATTAATGGGCCTTTGATTTTTTCACTTTATACTATGTAGAAATTTTGTGAATGCAACTCCTCTTAAACCGGATGGCAAATTTTGCTTAAACTTCCAGGGATGAACAACCTTAATGTGTAGATGGTAGTAAAGGAAGGAATTTTTGCTGCAACCAAATTTAACAGAATTATGGCACTTTGTTGATTTTTTTATTATATACTATATAGAAATTTTGTGAACACAACTCCTCTTAAACCGGATGGCAGATTTTGCTTAAACTTACAGGGATGAACAACCTTAATGTGTAGATGGTAGTAAAGGAAGGAATTTTTGCTGCGACCAAATTTAACAGAATTATGGCCCTTTGTTGATTTTTCACTCTATACTATGTAGAAGTTTTGTGAACGCAACTCCTCTTAAACCGGATGGCAGATTTTGCTTAAACTTACAGGGATGAACAACCTTAAGGTGTAGATGGTTGTAAAGGAAGGAATTTTTGCTGCGACCAAATTTTACAGAATTATGGCCCTTTGATTTTTTCACTATATACTATTTTGAAATTTTGTGAATGCAACTCCTCTTAAACCGAATGGCAGATTTTGCTTAAACGTCCAGGGATAAACAACCTTAATGTGTAGATGGTAGTAAAGGAAGGAATTTTTGTTGCAACCAAATTTAACAGAATTATGGCACTTTGTTGATTTTTTTATTATATACTATATAGAAATTTTGTGAACACAACTCCTCTTAAACCGGATGGCAGATTTTGCTTAAACTTCAAGGGATGAACAACCTTAATGTGTAGGTCGTAGTAAAGGAAGGATTTTTGCTGCGACCAAATTTAACAGAATTATGGCCCTTTGTTAATTTTTAGTTTTCAACTTGTGGCACATGTAGTCCAAAAAATATTTGACCTAGAGTCATAAGATTGACAGAACAGTGGCGTGTGGGGGCATCAGTGTCCTATGGACACATTTCTAGTTACTTGTGTGTCTTTTTTAGCTCACCTGAGCTTGCTCAGGGTGAGCTTTTAGGATCGGTGAATGTCCATCGTCCGTCGTATGTCAACAATTGCTTGTGAACACTAGCGGTCACATTTTTGAACCAATCAACATCAAACTTTGTCAGCAAGCTTGTTTAGTCAATTGCTTGGATGAGTTCGAACATGGGTCATCTCTGATGAAAAACTAGGTCACAGGAGCTAAAAATAGAAAAACCTTGTGAACACTCTAGTGGTCACATTTTTGACCCAATCATAATCAAACTTGGTCAGGATGCTTCTCTAGCTGATAGCTCGGATGAGTTCGAACATGGGTCATCTCGGATGAAAAAGTAGGTCACCTGAGCTAAAAATAGAAAAACCTTGTTAACACTCTAGCGGTCACATTTTTGCATCAATCATCATCAAACTTGGTCAAGATGCTTGTCTATTTGATCACTCGGATGAGTTCGAACATGGGTCATCTCGGATGAAAAAGTAGGTCAATGCAGCTAAAAATAGAAAACCTTGTTAACACTCTAGCGGTCACATTTTTGCATCAATCATCATCAAACTTGGTCAAGATGCTTGTCTAGGTGAAAGCTCGGATGAGTTCGAACATGGGTCATATCGAATGAAAATCTAGGTCACAGGAGCTTAAAAAAGAAAAACGATGTTAACACTCTAGCGGTCACATTTTTGCATCAATCATCAATAAACTTGTTCAAGATGCTTGTCTAGGTGAAAGCTTGGATGAGTTCAAACATGGGTCATATCGGATGAAAAACTAGGTCACAGGAGCTAAAAATAGAAAACCCTTGTTAACACTCCAGTGGTCACAATTTTGACTCAATTGTCATCAAACTTGGTCAGGAAACTTGTGTAGGTCATTGCTGGGAAGAAATTAAACATGGGTCATCTCGGATGAAAAAGTAGGTCACCGGAGCAGAAAATAGAAAAATCTTGTTAACACTCTAGTGGCTACTGTTGTGATCCAAATATTCTGTTAATTGGTCTGAAAGTTTGTTTTGATGATTTCAAAGTCCAGTTCGAACTTGGGTCATCTAATATGAAAAACTAGGTCACACCGCCCAAATATCGAAAAACCTTGTTAACATTCTAGTGGTCACATTTTCGACTCAATTATCATCAAACTTGGTAAGATTGCTTGTTTAGGTAATTGCTTGGATGAGTTCGAAATCGCACGTGGAACTAGGTCACCGGAGCTAAAAATAGAAAAATCTTGTTAACACTCTAGTTGCTACTGTTTTGATCCAAGTATCCTGGAAATTGGTCTGAAAGTTTGTTTTGATGATTTCTAGGTCAAGTTTGAATATGGGTCACCTAGGTAAAAAACTAGGTCGCACTGCTCAAATATGGATAATCCTTGTTAACACTGTAGTGGTCACATTTTTGACTCACCTGTCGTGAGACTTGGTCAGAATGCTTGTCTAGGTAATTGTTTGGATGAGTTTGATAAGTCAGGTGAGCGATCTAGGGCTATCATGGCCCTCTTGTTAATTTTTGACTTTTGTCCGGGACATAACTTTAAAACTATTAGAGATATCAACATGAAACTTTGTAGGTAGCTAGATATCATTGAATAGAACTGCAATGCTTAAAGAACCTAATCAAAGCCTGGTCTAATTTTGGAGTAATTGGCCTTTGTTCATTTTTACACTTTGAATTTTACCCGGGACATAATTCTGATATCATCAGGAAACTTTATAGATAGATAGATGTCATTGAATAGAAGTGCAGTGCAAACAAACATAACTCCGCCTTGCCTAATTTTGGAGTTTTTGCCCTAGTTCATTTTCTTTATACTTTCCTGTGTCCAGAACCTTCTCGGGGAGCATCGCCCGGTTCAACTGGTTCTTGTTTATCCTGATGTACATGTAACCTTTTTACAATCAGTTCAAATGCCACTAAAAGTACATATACAAGAACAGTGATAATGAATAGCCTATATTCAAGCAGAAAATGCCTAACGGACAGCTGTACTGTTGACTTGTGGAGTTCTAGTCTATAAAGAATATAATGGGGAAAAAATCAGGACTTTCATTTGACTTCAACACATCCAGAAAATCAACTTATAGAAGTTTGTCTCGTTGAAATTCTACTGTATATTTGGACGCTGTATGTTATACAAAACGACTGAAAATACACATATTACTTTATACAATAAACATTTTTGAAAATTTAATGAATAAAACACAATTATTTGTATTATATTTTATGTTGTAGGAGATAAAAAGACTCAAAGTAGAAGGCTCTCCTCAACAAAAACAGTCAGAATTTGAAAAGGCTAAATCAGGTATGCTACAAATCTATATAGAATATGAAAAGGCTTAATCAGGTATGTTATATAGAATGTGAAAAGGCTAAATCTTGTTTGTTATATAGAATATGTAAGTTATATAGGATATGAAATGGCTAAATCAGGTATGTATATAAAAGGCGAGATCAGAATATGAAAAGGCAAGATCAGGTATGTAACTGTATTCCTAGAAAAGATTCTGCGCGTTTTAAGTTAGCGCTTTTCGCAGTAGGCATAATTCCGCAAATCTTTATAGCCGCGAATATGTCACTTATAACAAATCCGCGAACATTTTTAGCTTCAACCAAATAAAAACATAAAGGTGCAGAATATTTATTATAATCTGCTTTCACAATAACAGATAAACAGAGGTACGTACTATAGAACTGTGTCAAGAGTTATGTATGTATGTTATAGATACCTGTTTGGACCCTGAAGAAAATAAATTGTCAATTATTAGTAATTATCATGCTTATTGACGTTATTCGGTAGTAACGGCGTATACAAAAGCGTACATTGAATGGCTTGGATTTTATTTGCTTGGAGTAGGTGTAATCCTTTGTTAAAAGAAAAATAGCGATCAATTGTTACATTGATAAGCAGCTGTTACATTACTATAATGAAAGCGATATAATGTAAACTCTGATACTGAGCAAAAAAATACGCATCAACATTTTGAAGATAAAGTCAGTTATGATTCCAATGAGAATAAAAGCTAACGGGTCTGACTGTATCTTATTTATTCACATATTGAAAAAGGTAAGGAAATAAGATAAAAGTGTTCACGGAACATCTGGCTGTGTTCGACTAGTCAAAAGATAAATAGCTATTGTCAAAAAAATAAAATAATTAAAAGTACCCAACAGGCAAGGACTTGCATCAAAAACGTTGACTCCAAAAACTAGTTTAGGTCGTAGCGACTTAATATTTGCGGAATTTGCGGTTACTTCAAATCCGTGAAAGTTTGTCTCCGCGAAAATGCCGACGTTGTGAAAAACGCGAAATACTGTATCCGCGAACATTTCTAGGAATACAGTATATAGAATATGTATAGGCTAAATCAGGTTTGTGATTTAAATATGAATAGGCTAAATCAGGTATGTGATTTAAATATGAAAAGGCTAAATCGGGTATGTTATATAGGATATGGAAAGGCCAAATCCGGTATGTTCTATAGAATATGAAAATGTTATATTAAGTATGTCATATAGAATATGTAAAGGCTAAATCAGGTATGTGATTTAAATATGAAAAGGCTAAATTAGGTATGTTATATAGAATATGAAAAGACCAAACCATGTATGTTATATAGAATATGAAAAGGCTAAAGCAGGTATGTTATATAGAATATGGAAAGGTTATATCCGGTATGTTATATAGAATATGTAAAGGCTAAATCAGGTATGTGATTTAAATATGAAAAGGCTAAATCAGATATTTTGTATAGGATAAGAAAAGGCTAAATCAGGCATGTAATATAATCTATGAAAAGGCTTAATCATGTATGGTATATAGAATATGCAAAGGGTAAGTCAGGTATGTTATTTAAATATGAAAAGGCTAAATCAGATATTTTGTATAGAATAAGAAAAGGCTTAATCAGGCATGTAATATAATCTATGAAAAGGCTAAATCATGTATGGTATATAGAATATGAAAAGGCGAGATCTGGTATGTTACATAGAATATGAAAAGGTTATATCCGTTATGTTATATAGAATATGAAAAGGCTAAATCATGTATGGTATATAGAATATGAAAAGGCAAGATCTGGTATGTTACATAGAATGTGAAAGGCTAAATCAGGTATGGTATATAGAATATGAAAAGTCTTAATCTTGTGATTGTTGTCATTAACTAGCGTCAGTCTGTTCAATATTTGCTGATTTACTGATTTGTCTTTACATTTCAATGAGGCCCCCTGTGATGTATTCTACTTCTTTTATATATTTCTGTGATAATCTGTCCAGGCCTTTACTTATTTTCTGTATCATTTACTCATTGATTTGTTCTTAACAATTTGATATCATATTATCATTTAAATTTCAGAATGGCGGAAAAAGTTGATTGAACAGTATCAAAAAACCCTGCTGCAAGTTCCTACAAAACCTTTACAACCAAAAAGTGAAAAATGTAGCTTTAATGAGATTTATATTAGGCCTAAAATAACGAGGGAAATAAAAGGAAAAAAGGGGGAGACAAAGGAGGTGGATGTTGAAACAATGTCTGAAATCTTCACAATGAACGGAGTCCCCCAAAAATCTGTATATGTTATAGGAGATGCAGGGTCAGGAAAAACTAGTTTTTGTAAATATCTGGTCAACTGTTGGTGTTTGTCACACAGTGAGGAACATGGAGCTGGCAATGAAAATGATGATGGCAGTGGTAAACCTGAAGGTGACAGTGAAAAACATGGAGGTGACAGTGAAAAATTTGGAGGTGATGATGAGACACCTGGAGTTGGCAATGAATTTGAAGATGGCACTGCAGAACATGGAGTAGATAATGAAGGAAATGAAACACATGTTGGTGTCAATGAAATTGAAGATGGCAGTGAGGAACATGGAGGTGATAATGAAGAACATGATAAAAAGAGAATCAACATTGTAAATGAAGAGGTAAAGGGGACACATAGTGGAGACATTGAAAACGAAGAGGGCAGTAAGACACATGGAGGTGTTAATGAGAAACGAGGAAATGAAAAACATGTGGGTGGCATTAAGAAAAATGGAAGTGACAGTGATGACATTCAAGATAACAACGATGAATCCCACAATGATGACTCTGATGGTGACTCCATGCCTTCCGAATCTGACATTTATGACTCTGATATCTTTAATAACTCTGAATCCCATAGTGACGACTCTGATGGTGACTTAATACACTCCGAATCCGATAGTGACGACCCTTATACTGACTCCACAGACTCTGAATTTGACTTTGAATTTTACAGTGATGACTATGAATATGATAGCAAAAATTATGAACTTGAATTCAATGGTGTAAAAGAGATGAAAAAATTTGACTTTGTATTTTACATCCCTCTAAGACAGTATAATCAAAACATTGACACTATTGATGAAATGCTTCTAAAACGTTATCAAATGAAAATGTTAAACACACTTCTTGAAGAGGAATCCTCTAGAGTAATGATTTTGCTTGATGGCTTAGATGAATGGTCCTCTGAAAATGTCCCACAGCATAGCATCTTTAAGGAGTATACAATATTAACTACTTCGCGGCCATGGAAATTTCATACATTAAGACCAACTAATGTTGATATTGAAGAGTCGCTGAATCTGAAAGGGTTTGATTTTAGATGTGAAAGGGAAATGGTAAATAGGACAGTCTCACAATTAAATGTAAATAGACATGCTAATAAACATCCCAGAGATTGTAGGAAAAAGCTGAATCAGAAGTCTCTGGGAAGTTTAAAACAGGTACCAATTATGCTACAACAACTGATATGTCTATGGTTTGATGGTAAACTCGATAAAACCTCAAGATGTGCCATCCACACCGGTATGTTAGAATTATTCTTCACCTGGAATGACATGAAAACTACAGGAACAAGTACTCGACTCATGAAGGGGACCCAGAAAGTAGATCTTCCTAAATATTTAGCCGATAAAACCAAATTAAGATTAAATCGCCATTTTATTTATGAAGTATCACAGTTGGCTTATGAGACACTATTTAATTGTTCGAAGGATAAGTCTTTGACATTTGACATTTGTATGTTTGATGAACTAGAAATATCAGATGAAGTAAGAGAAAATTGCTTGAAACTTGGAATAATTACAGAAGATGAATGTCCAAGTTTATCTGTATCAGAACCACCAAGCTCATTGTTCTCCTTTATTCACAAATCAATGCAAGAATTTCTGGCTGCAGTGTATATTGGCATCAATTTCAATGCAAAAATTGGGTTGTCAGATAGTACAGGAAATGTTGAATTAGCCAAAAAGTTTATTGATGAGATTTTTCAGAAATGTCTAACAGTCAATGACATATTAGAGCAGTCAAATGTAATTATTATGCTATCTGGTCTTGAACCTAGATTAGCAACTCATGTTTCAAAATACATATATGATACTGTGTCAGAAGACTCTCGTGTTCAGGAATACAGGAGAACAATAAGTGTTCAGGAATACAGCAGAACAATAATTAGTGACAATTATAATTATAGTATTAGTAGGGATCATCGTTGTATTACTGATATTCAAGAGCTTATGTTTGAGTCAATGGAAGAATTCAATGCAGCATGTAGTGTAGGAAGTAATACGGTATTTTATATAGGAGATTTGGTCATTGATAGACGGGGTCAGTATTGTGATATTGTTTGTTCAAGTATTGATCAGCAACAAATTGTTCCTGACTCTGTTCTGTCTATTAAGGTAGGTGACATCAACACATTTAATGTTAAATTTACAAAATATTTACCAATGTTTCATCACCTTGAAAAAATTGAAATAGAGTATGTATATGTACAAAGGTTATCAAGTACACAAAGTGATAGAACACAGAGTAATGAACAGATGATTGATGAGATAAACAATTGTGTTCCTGAGACAATTAATGTAAATACTTCAACATTAAAGTCTCTGTCTCTTGTTGATTTCTCTTACACTGGCAAGTATTACCCAGTGTATAAAACAGTTGTTAGTTACCTACCTAGTATGATCAATCTTGTAGCAATACATATGAAACATATAGCAATGAGTCATGATGATACTACTACATTTTGTAATTTTCTTGAGGGAACCAGTCATCTTGAACAAATACATCTTGATGATGTTATATGTAAGTGTAAGAAGCAGCATGATGTAAATTTATCAAAACATAAACAACTTCAGTACCTTGATTTGAATGATACTGTTAGTGTGATAGATGCTGATACTACAAACCTTGAAATATTTAAATTTCATGATTTGATAGATAGTAATTATGAGAAAATATTTGATATTATTAGAAAATCTAGCAAATTAAAAGAACTTAAATTGAATGAAGAATATGACAATAAATCTCAATTTTATCATACCAACATAACAAAGAGACTAGTCACAGTATTACCATTGTTACACAATCTCAGTAAGCTTGAGTTAGATAGATGTAGGTTAACTGACAATATAATACAGTCACCTTTAGAGATGAAGAGTTTAAAGAACATTCGGCTTTTTGAAGTCATAATGAGTTTGACAACATGGAAGAAGTTTGTTGATAGTCTTCCTGGTATTCCTCATACTGTAGAGGTGAGGGTAAGTAGCTGTTATATAATAGGAAATGGTGATGATATGTTTACATTGACATCACTAGAACTTAAAGGAGGGAAGGGAAATTATGCTATACAGTATGTAAAAGATAAGGATCAGCTATTTCATGTTAAACAGTATAATGGTAATTGCTTTGACTTTTCAACAAAAAAGTGATAAAGTATACAAGTAGTTTAGTTACATAGTGTTTGAACACTAATTTTTGTTTTTCTACCTTTTCAACAAAAATAATGGTTTGAATTTTTAACATAGTGAGATAAAATACATGCAGATAACATAGTGTTTGAACTGAATTATTTTATGTGAAAATTTACAATAATTTTTTTGTTGTTATTTTCTTAATAAAAGTGATTCTTATGACAAGTAATTAACATATTGTTGTGAAGCAAGAGGATGAATTTAATGCATTATTATAACAATTTAAATACAATTTAGAAAATAAATATTGATGTTTTATCAATGTAACAAAATGTATTTATAATATTGAAATTGAAGACAGTAATATTCAATTTTTGTTTATAAATAAATAAATGAAAGAAATGCAGTGAAATAAAGTAAATATATTGATTTAATAAAGATAAAGGTTCTTTTCTAAAGATCAGGAATAGTTTGCGGGGAAAAAATGATTTGAAAACAGTAATGTTCTAATTATAAATGTATAAATAGGTTTGTAAGTAAACAAGTAAATAAATTAATGAATAAGTAAATTAAATGAATTATATATCATAAAACAAATATTGAATGTACAAAGTCAAAAAGGAGGATGATGTCAGTTAATAGGTTGAAAAAGTAAAATATACTTTATTTATAATTAATAAGCCCATTTCTAAGCACATTTACTTTTTATGGTAAAAAATAGAATCACACATTATAATAATCAGGAATTTGACAAGAGTTAGGGGTTGAAGTTGTTTTTATTATCATTGAACAAAATTGTAATATATAAATGGATACTATCATACATGAAAATAAAAAAGCACAAAGAGAATGATATATACATGCTTAAATAGTTATATGATATATGATACAAGGAAATGGTACCAGTTATATGTTATATATGACAAGAGAATGGTATATATAAATACCAGTTATATGATATATATATGACAAGGGAATGGTATATATAGATACCAGTTATATGTTATATAAGACAAGCAAATGGTATATATAGATACCAGTTATATGTTATATATGGCAAGCGAATGGTATATATAAATACCAGTTATATGTTATATATATGACAAGGGAATGGTATATATATAGTTATATATACCAGTTATATGATATATAGGACAAGGGAATGGTATATATAGATACCAGTTATATGTATATAGGACAAGGGAATGGTATTTATATATACCAGTTATATGATATATAGGACAAGGGAATGGTATAATAATAACCAGTTATTTGATATATTGGACAAGGGAATGGTATTTATAAATACCAGTTGTATTATACATTATACTAAGGACAAGGGAATGGTATATATAAATACCAGTTATATGATTTATAGGACAGAGGATCAGTATATATTATTACCAATTATATGATATATAGGATTATATGATATAGAGGAATTGTAATTTTTTATTTGAATACCTGTTAGATGTGAGGACAAGTAAATGGTATGCTAATTTTTTTCATGGAGATGAGGACTACTTACAAGTTATATTTTAGAAATTCCTTCTTTGATTGTTTTATATGGTAAGGATTGAAAAAGGGGAAAAATTATAATTATGCAAAAACAATTACTTTGTACAAGTTAATATTATTAGTCAGTATCAGTCATGTGTATATCTAAAGGGGCTTCACTTAGGATTTTTGACATGTTCGGAATTAAATTTTCTTGATTTTTTTAGATTGATAGGATGAGAATATTCTTGAGGTTTCCTACTATTTCAATATAACTATTAACTTGTGTGCAAAAAAATTAGATCATTCTTTAGATCAAGCTGTATCTCCATTACAACTTCGGGTGGATTAGAACCTCACGCACATATGAGAGTTATAGGCAGTCTCTGTCCGAGGACCATGAATATAACATAAATTTTGACAGAGTTATTGCCCTTTTTGAAGTTAGACAGTTCTGCAGTCGCCATCACTGTGGATAGCTGAGCACACTGTGCTGTCGAGAGCTCTTGTGGTTCAAAATGATATAAATGTTTATAGCTTAACTCCCCTTAAAATTACACACAATTAATATCAATTTTCAATTTTAGTTTTTTTTTCTTGAGAAATAGTATTATTCTTATATGCCCGAAAGAGGGTGTCCGTCCGTTTGTCCGTCCGTTAGCAATATGGTTTCCAGAGCATAACTTAAGTTCCATTTGGCCCACAATATTCAAACTTCATAGGATATTGTCCATATTGGGTAGAAGACCCTTATTGATTTTGGGGTCACAAGGTCAAAGGTCAAGGTCACAATGACCTTAAAACTGAAAACAGTTTCTGGACCATAACTTAAGCTCCATTTAGCCCAAAATATTTAAACTGCATAGGACGATTGTCCATATTGAGTAAAAGACCCTTATTGATTTTGGGGTCACATGGTCAAAGGTCAAGGTCACAATGACCTTAAAACTGAAAACAGTTTCTGGAACATAAGTTCCATTTGGCCCAAAGTGTTCAAACTTCATACGATGATTGTCCATATTGGGTAGAAGACCCCTATCGATTTTGGGGTTACAAGGTCAAAGGTCACGGTCACTATTACTTTAAAACTGTATAACGTTTCAAGAACATAACTTAAGTTCCATTTGGTCCACAATATTCAAACTTCAGAGGCATGAATTGCTATTTGAAGGAGGTAATACTTTATTTAATTCTCATGTCTTACAAATGCTTCAACCTTACTAAAAAACAATCAACACTTTTGAGCATATAATGCTCCGCCTCAGCGGTGCTCTTGTTATATTTTTCCGTATTAAGTTTCCAAATTAATCTGTTTTGGAATTTCTACTTTAATTTTTTATTTAGGGTTTTGGACCTCAGTGGAGCTTCTTTAAGTGAACTTAAATGCTTATTTTTTTTGTAAATTATATAGATAAACTTAAGGTAAATGAGTATAAACATGCCTATCTGTAAATTAAGATGTACATATTAGGAATATTATACCAGTTTGTGGCTGCCCCTCAGGTATATATTCCCTTTCTCGGCTGTCCCGAGGGTAATTTGCCAGTTCTTAGCAGCCTCTCTTGGATATATACCAGTTTTTGACTACACTAAGGAAATGTATTATGGCAGAAATATCTGTAAGTCTATAATTACTCAGCTTGTTTCAATATTGCAGTAAAATGTTACATTTGTCTTGTTATTTCTTGATTTTCGGCACATTTAAGTACCATTACTTTGAAATAAAATTTACCATTAAAGGATTGCCTAGCTTTTGAAATATTGTGCACTGAGAAAATGTAAATTTTAATTCAATCAGTATAAATGTGAATGGGTAACCCATACATATAAACAAATACACTTCATTTGTGATGATTGTAGTTCAGCCCAGTATCTGTGGATTCATATGATGTTAAGACTGAAAATTAAATGTTTTCAGACAGTAAAGATATAACTACATTTTATTAAAGATTAGTTAGTTTTTTATGCTTGCTGATGTTAGTATATACATGTACCAGGATTAAGATATGTTATATATAAACATATGGTACACTTGTCTGTGACTTTATTTCATGAAATTCTGAATGAATGAATGAATGATGTATGTATGTAAGCATATTATCACATATAATATACATGTTTGTTGTTTAAGTGACATGCTATTGCAAAGCTTTTATGAAAATAAGATAACATTATTTTATATAATGAAAGATTTTGGGGCATGTAATCCTACGTACATCTTAAACAGTTATACCTGTTTGATTTAAAGACCCATTAAGCCTTAAAAAATGCAATCACTTTATTTTTTAAAAAGCTTATTTTTTTTTTGTGTCCAAAGAGTATTTCATTGTCCATATAGCACAGCCATCATTTGTTTCTTTTGCATTTATTCATGTTTGATTTAAAGGCCCATTAAGCTTAGAAAATGCAGAAAGTTATTTTTCAAAATTTTATATTTTTGGTGTCCAAAACGTTTTTCATTGGCCATATATCTAAGCCAACTTTTGTTTCTTTTGCATTTTAGCAACCAGTACAATTATGATGAATAAGTATTATATATGGATGTCAAATAACATTATTATTTTTTACATTTTGCATCTCTAATACTTAACTCAAGGTTTTGGCAGGTGATAAGAATATCACATTTTCTAAATATATCATTACAACATTATAAAACACATATTGGCCCTTTTACAAAAATAAAAATGTATTCATTTCTGAGGCGAAGTGTGCCTTTAAACTTTAAATGTATATGTAGAGTAAATTCATCTAGTAAATAAGTAAACATATAATTACATGAAGATGTTATTGTTAACTAGATATATGAATGTTTATCTTTTTTTCATGCTTAGATTTGTTATGTATTGTGAACATATGCATCAGACATGTTTGTTTGTGACTTGGAATATAGATTTTATAATTCTAGTATATTTGTAAAAATACAATTTACATGTACTCATAACAAATCTATATTGTCCATGTTTATGCTTGAACAATTCTATATGAAGTTAAGATAAGTTCATGCTGTAATATTTTATGTCAATTATACATTATATATTAACTATGTCTGTTTATTGAATATTGTATGATTAAATCCATCTAGTTCATTTGTAAACCTTAAATTACATGCACATGATAACACAATATATTTTGGCCATGTTTATGCTTAAACAATTCTATATGAAGTTAAGATAAGTTCATGCTGTAATATTTTATGTCAATTATACATTATATATTAACTATGTCTGTTTAGTGAATATTGTATGATTAAATCCATCTAGTACATTTGTAAACCTTAAATTACAAGCACTTGATAACACATATATTTTGGCAAGGTTTATGCTGAAACAATTCTATATGAAGTTAAGATAAGATCATGCTGGAATATGTCAATTATACATATACATATATATTAAACATGACTGTTTAAAACTTGAAATGTTTATTGAAAACAATATTCAGTATATGATCTTGTCATGGAAGCTTCATAGACAGAATTGTTAGTATACTGTTTTTGTTATTAATGTAGTAATTTAAAAAAATAACATGTTTGTTTGATTGGTTTTGACAGCATAAATGTGTGACTTTTCTTAATAAAAGATTGTACAAAATTGATTTGTGTGTCATTTGTTTTTCCCTCTCTTACAGAACAAATTGAGGGTATAAAACGTGTCAAAAATTATTTCCGACTATTTTCATATACAGCAAAGACTAAGCTGCCAGTACATCAATAATGTACTGTACTAGGAATGAGACATTGACTTTGTGATGAATTCCATTTGATCATAAATCAGATAGACATCCATATAAATTAGAATTTTGAAAATGCGACGGCTCTAAAACAAGTTTTCTGTTTTCTTATAAATTGATTACATAAATGGGTATAACATTTTACAAGGTTACGTTCATTACCATCCATGGTTACATCTTTGCTCTAATTACTATACCTGTATTAAAGGACAAAGGGACACCTGAGGTCTTCCTCAATCAATAGAGCTGGAAAGTCGTCTTTGTGATCTATTAAAAATGGTGTTATTTTTAAGGAAATGCCTACATCGACTTAACCTGTTATAAGAAATGTAGCCCCCGAAACACAATTTGAACATTCTCTTGTTAAAAAACACGGAAAGAAAGTGATCCCTTGGAAGCATTAATCACAACAAAATTACATAAGAATTGCAGACTCGGTTTGATTGAGTCTGTAAATGAGGGATACTGAAAAAGTGAACATTCCTCACGCCCCCTAGCACCGGCTTAAGCGGTAATCGATTCAAAACACTTAATAGTGCTGGTATCAATGATCCCGAAGGACCAGAAAAATATAACAACACTGAAGTGAAGTACGGAGCAACTTTTTATAGCTGCCACACAGCACTTGACACATGCTGTTGTGAAGTATAAGAATATGAAAACCATAGGTAGAATTAAAAGTATTTTGCCCAAAGATAATATCTTTAAGTTTTCTGAAACCGACCACGGGTCATTTAACCCTGTATGGTATGGCAATTTGGCAAATGATATCATATAATTGCAGCTGTAATTATTTTCCTATTCTTTATTTTAAGTTGTAAACTGTTCGTGGTCATTAAAACAAAATGCTCCACGGAATCAAACGGGTAATAGCAGGTTATGTTTGTTTGTTTTATTTTACGCTTTTTCCCCAACAGTATTTCAGTCATTTAGGCAGGTAGTTTCCAAACCATCGTTCCTGGATAGTTACACCAGTACTAGACTACCTTCCTCCGTGCTAAACTACCAAAGCATCTCCCGGGGACCGAACCCACGCCAGAGAAATAACTGGATTAGAAGTCATCGACTCTAACCCCTCGACCACGGAGGCAGTGAAATAACAGGTACTAATTTCTAAAGTTATAGTTTTGTGAAGGATCTGCTAATGAATTTTGTGTAGATACAAATGTATGATGATAATGATTTCAGAATGATAATGATAATTATGTATAATAAAGATAATGTACATATCGGTATAATAATGAAGATAGCAGAATAATAATGAAGATATCAGAATGACAATAAAGATATTGGAATGACAACCATACATCTTACTCCGTTTCATCATACATTTGTATCTACATAAAAATTCATTCACATCAGAATAATAATGGTGATATTTAATGATTATAAAGACATATAAGAATGACAATAAAGATATCAGAATGACAATGAAGATATCAGAATGTAAATGAAGATATCAGAATGACAATGAAGATATCAGAATGTGAATGAAGATATAGAGGATATTCAAGTTTTTTCTATAAATACATGATTTATTTTCATCGAGTGGTATGAAAATAAATATTTCATGAGTGGCGGTAGCCACGAATGAAATATGATAATTTTCATGCCACAAGATGAAAATAAATCATGTATTCATAGAAAAAACTTGAATTTTCTGTTTATTATATACATTTTTCTCTTTTTTTGCGATAAAATTTGAAAGACTTTCCATTAAATTGTGTGTACTGGCAGAATTTAAAAGAAAGTGGTCTGGCGAGACACCAGAGAAAATACGGAAAATATGTTTCACAGCAGTGAAAAATAAATTTTTACAGTGAAAATACGGAAAATGAAAATATGCATTTTATTTCATCAATATTTCTCAATATTTCATTTATAAGTATATAATAAATCAGATTGATGGTGATATTAGAATTATAATAAAGATTTGTAATACATAATATATGGATCATGAAATTGATCATCGGTAGAAAATATTTTAATTTCTGTTGATCCAGATGTGTACTTGAACACTCAAATGTAAGGTAAAGTTTCAACTTTTTTCAAAAAACTTGTGAAATTCATTTTTTAAATAAGAGATCGAAATTCAATTATATCCTTCTGACTTTCTTCTGTATTCACCATTTTATGATTTCTACACAGTGTGAACATATTTTTTCTTGCGTGGGTCCTGACGTGGCGTGAACATGCATTTTGTACGAAGAAAATGCCATAAAACGGACACAAAACAGAAAGATTTTGTAACCTCTAAACTCGAGACGCTGCAAGTGTGCATTGGAGTTTCATATAAAGAAGATAAAGAGATCATTTTCAATGACTGTTAACGTTACATTTTTAGCTCACCTGTCACAAAGTGACAGGGTGAGCTTTTGTGATCGCTTTTCGTCCGGCGTCCGTCCGTCCGTAGTCCGTCCGTCCGTCCGTAAACTTTTGCTTTAAATGACATCTCCTCATAAACCACTGAGCCAATTTCATCCAAACTTCACAGGAATGTTCCTTTGGTGGTCACCTTTAAAAATTGTTCAAAGAATTTAATTCCATGCAGAACTCTGGTTGCCATGGCAACCGAAAGAAAAATCTTTAAATATCTTCTTTTAAACAACCCTAAGAGCTAGAGCTTAGATATTTGGCATGAAACATCTTCTAGTGAGTGTCTACCAAGTTTGTTCAAATAAAAGCCCTGGGGTCAAAATTGGCCCCGCCCCAGGGGGTCATTGATTTTCCCTATATGCATATAGTAAAAACTTAAAAAAATTTCTTTTAAAGAACCCAAAGAGCTAGAGCTAAGATATTTGGCATGAACCATCTTCTAGTGAGTGTCTACCAAGTTTGTTCAAATAAAAGCCCTGGAGTCAAAATTGGCCCGCCCCAGGGGGTCATAGCTTTTCCCTATATGCATATAGTAAAAACTTTAAAAAATCTTCTTTTAAAGAACCCAAAGGGCTAGAGCTAAGATATTTGGCATGAAACATCTTCTAGTAAGTGTCTACCAAGTTGGTTCAAATAAAAGCCCTGGGGTCAAAATTGGCCCCGCCCCAGGGGGTCATAGCTTTTCCCTATATGCATATAGTAAAAACTTAAAAAATCTTCTTTTAAAGAACCCAAAGAGCTAGAGCTAAGATATTTGGCATGAACCATCTTCTAGTGAGTGTCTACCAAGTTTGTTCAAATAAA